GGGGGGGGGGGGGGGCTGTACTGCCGTTTCAACCCACCCCGTTGGGAAGAGGGTCCTATCCATGGGATACCGTCTGCTCCGGGAGGGACATCAACGTATAGGTGGGAACATCAAATCTGACGCGGAGCAACGATGCCAAGAAACAAGCTCCATGGCACTGTTTCTAACCTCGTCACCTTCCACTGATGAAAAAATATACTTCCATGTATATGCCTAAGCGTGTGCCAGAAGTTAGAACTTAAATATTGACGTGTAGGAGAAAAACACAAAACACCATGGTCTGCGGCCCTGGGCGAGTGCGTACGATAGGTTCCTCTCCTCGTACACACCTGCAGTTTCGCCCAACAATACTCAACCAGATGAAGGTTTGTACAAAGATGAACGGCGAAGTTGCAAACTACCAGGCCCTGCGTGCGTACCTTCTTGATGACCTGCTGGACCAAATCTCTTGTTTGATCCACCACGTCCGGGGCCACCTCGTTGCCAAGCAGCTCCGTGAGATCCTTGCTGCCCTCCATGATGTCCATGAGAGCCTCGATCGTGGGAGGTACCATGCTTAGCAACTCGCCGTTCTCTACAAATACTCACCACAACAAGGACGGGTCGGACGTACGTTCATATTTGAATACGTGTTGGACTGCGATCGAGCTCGAGAAGCAATTGACCCATGAAACACGTTAGGCGAGGAAAGAAACGGTTTCGAGAAAACTGGACGCAATGCATCCAACCTCCATCCAGCGCGCGATTGAAGAAGCCGAGATCCGAAGGCCCAAACCAAGCATGCCGTGCCAACGTCATGAGTTTTAGTTTGTAAGATGGCAGAGGGGAACGGCGAAAGAAAAACGACAAGGTGGAAACGACGGCTATGCATACCTGTATCACAAACACCGCCGAATGGCGTTCGACACGCATCACACAGCATCTCTTCGAGGTGCAACAAGAAGAGTCGTCGTTTGTCCCTGGGCGAGGCAGCGATAGCATCAGTCTCAATCACATTCCTTGCATCTCACCGTCGTTGCAGAACCCCCCCCCCAAAAAAAAAAAACACTTGAGGCTTGCTCCTCCTTCCCTCTGGTCGCCAACCAACGCCTTCAGCGCACTCACCCGCCGTCGGCAAGCCACTGTTGACCGCCCGGCCTCCCGTGCCGCCACCGCCGCCGCCGCCATCGCCTCCCACGGTGCCCGAGATACTGCTGGCAAAAATTGCGGCCGCGAGGTCGGCCTCCTCGTCGTAACTCTCGTCTCCCGGCCGCAGGACGCTGCCCCCGGCCGATCGAAAGCGCCCCCCTCTTCCTCCTCCTCCTCCTCCTCCACCGCCGCCGCCGCCGCCGAACCCCCGCCCCATCGCCCCGGACCCGATAGCGCCGTTCCTGCCGCTGCCGCTGCCGCTGCCGCTGCCGCCTCTGAACGGCACGCCGTCTCGTCTAAGATTTTCGTACAGTTGAGTAAACCGGCTGCCGGATCCCACCTGCATGGACGTAGGGGGGGGGGGGGG